CCGTCAAAGAGAATTCGCTCCGCACAAACGCCACAGCGGAGCCCAACACGCTCACAGCCCCACGCACAGACACCGCGTGCTTGCTCAACAGGAAGCCGCTTTCAACAAACGCCACCACGGAGCCACCGCTGGCCGCAACACCGCCCTCCACCGACACGCACAGCCCCAGCGCCGTCTGCACCGACAGCCCGTCCACGTACAGCGCTCCGCGCGACGACAGCGCCACGCCGCCAACCACCAACACGCCAACAGCGTCGCCGAACACAGCCGCCACATGCGTGCGCGCAATGGTCAGCACGCTCCCAGTCAGATTCACGCTGTGCACCACAAGGCACGCGGACGCGTCGCCAAGGCCGTAGGCGCCACGGTATGCAACACGCTTCTCTGCAATCAGCACCGAGTCCACCACAGTGACGCGAGAGCCAGGCGGAAATCGGTTCGACACCAGCACGCCGCCGCCGGAGCGCGACTCAAGCCCGCTGATCAACACATCGGCGCGCTCGCCAGCAGGCGGGTCGGACCGCCACCCAACAACGTACAGGCTCGCTCTGTCCAAAAACGTGCAGTTCGCCAGCGTCACGTTGCGCACGCTCCCCGACATCGCCTCCACGTCCACCACGACGTCCGCCGCAAAGGTCACACCAACGTAGCACGCCACCGACGTCCCGAAACCGGCGCTCACCTCCTCATCCACACGCACGTCCCGCACGCACAAGTCTGCGCCGTCGGTGCTCGGTGGCTCGGGGACAGCAACGGGCAGGCACGCATCGCCGTGGCCGCCCTCTGCGCACGTGCAGGCGCAGCCATCACTCGAGGCCATCGTCGTGTAAGCGGGGAAGCACGACGTCGCGAGGGCGCATGGATCGCTGCAGGTCAGAATGGTGGCGTTGTACACGGACGGGATGCTGTATTTCGCCCCCTCCTCGCCGTTCACAGTGTTGCACGCGGCCACAATCGCTCCGTTTGTGATATCGCGGGGCCTTTTGGGTATCCGCAGCACTGTCGGCGTGACCGTGCTGGACATGAGTTGGTTGCCGGACACAGACACCATGGAGTCGCGGAGACTCACCGTTGGGCATATGTAGGCAAAGGCTTCCGATGGGGATTCACGGCAGAGGTTGTCGCTCAACTGCAACCATGAGTTGTAGTAGATTTGGAAACTGGATCCTAGGAGAAACACAGCCAAGCTTCCCCGCATCTCGTTGCCCTGAAACACAACCGCTGAAAGAGACTCCACACGTGAGGACCAAAGAAGTAGCATGAAGTACTTTAACCCTCCCACCACAACGTTGCCTCGGATCACCACGGCAGAGTCGTTCAATACACTCAGCGATGAGGACCGTCTAGACCCTTCAAGATGTATCAGCGTACCGTTGCCGCCATCCATATGAAATGTGTTACCCACCACCGCAAACAAGGAGTGCCACGACACCCTCAGCACAGATCCCACAACGTGAATGGCGCTTGACGATGCCGCCACGGCGTGAAACACATTGCCACTGAACACCACCGCGGAGTCGTTGCTGATCGCCAGTCCATTCATCGCGACACACGACGGCCTTTTAACGTCCAAACCCGACCGAGGGATCAGCCTTGTGACCGTAAAGCGGTTCCCGCTGACCGTGATGTTCGTGTGCGGTGGAAACCCACCCTCCGGGCTGAGCAGCGCGTCATGGAACGTGTTGCCGGTGACGATGATGTTCAGCGACCCCAAAGCGGCGTGTGCGTTGCCCAACAGCACCAGCACGGCGCCGTCCCTCCAAGTGCATCCATCGAACGTGACGTTCGCCACTTCGCCCATCATCGCCCCTATCAGCACCGTCAGGCTCATGCCACCCCCGCTGAACGTCACGTTGCGGTAGCACAGCCACGACAGCCCGCCGCCCACTGCCTGCGCAACCTCGGGGTACTCCATGTCGCTGATGCACCCACCAACCGGCGGCGATGGCGGTGGCGGGCCAGCAGGCACAGGCGCCGGGACGCACACATCGCCGTGCCCTCCAGCAGCGCACTGGCACTTGCAGTCAATGATCGCCGTCGTCAGCGGTGCAAAGCAGTCGCCGTCCTTCGTGCACTCCCCGCACGCGGCAACCGTCGTCACGTTGGTGATGCCGTTAAGCTCCAGTTCAGCCGCCGTCGTCACCTTCCGACCCGCGAGCGTCAGGCACCCAGCAACGAACCGGTAGCCGGTTTCAGTCCGCAATAGCAGAGGCTCCGACAATCCCGTCAAGCCCATCTTGCAGCCCGTCAGCGTCACAACACTGCTGCTGTCGATGCTCACTAAGGCGAACTCAGTGTCGTATAACATCGCACCCAAACCCACGTCGTTGTCACGCCAATCCAACCAGCTTGACTCCTGGACGGTCCACGAGTCGTCTGCAAAGATGGCGTAGGACACGATACCGCTGTTCCCCACCACGCGCAACACGCTGTGATCCGACACGCTAACTCCGTGGTGCTGAAGCAGGAAGCTTGTTCCGGAGAACATTGTATTGTTGAGCAGCGCAAAAACAGAGTGATTGCGGACACTGAGCATGGCCACGTGGAACAGGTGTGTGTATCCATCGAAGCTGCAGTACCGCGTGTACAGCGAGCTGCCACCCGCCAGCGTCAGAGTCCCGATCGAGTAAAAACCAAGCGCATCATACCTCGATGCATGCGCCTTGACGTTGCCGACCAACAAAGAGGAAGCACTCAGCAAAAAGTTCTTCAGTAACAGTACGCCAAACTTGTTCCTCCCGGTGTCCGGCAGATGGACCTCGGAGGACTGCACCGCATCAACCTCCGTGACGGCAATGTCGCAATGCTGCGGAAGGGCACCCATAAAAACAACGACGGAGGACCGCATCACCGTCCGGCCCACGCGGATCAGGACGCCGGCTGACTCGGCCGCCTCAGCACCCCCAACAAACTGCAGCGCGGCACCCTCACGGAATGTGCACCCGGTGAGCGTAATGTTGATGGGGAGATGCAACGGCATACCGTCGAGAAAGAACGTCAGCACAGCACCCACGCCGCTGAATATCACACCCACGTAGCAGTGGTGCGTCTTCCACATGTTCAGCGCGAGGCTCGTCAGCGTCTGGTTGACCACGCAGCTCGTGTCGCCGTCGACGGCTCTCTCCGGCAAGGGCGGCACAACCGTGTCGGGCACCTCGAAGGGAAGACACGACGCGCCATGCCATCCGTCCTTGCAGCTGCACGAGCACGAGCCGCGGTCCACCGACTCCGTCCCGGGCATGTAGCACGCCGCGTCGTCGTTGCATGTGCCGCACCTGAACACCACCACGAGCTTCGGAAACACACCGGCGTACGACGCCTCCTCACCGTCCTGAAGGTTGCACCCAACGACCAACCGTGCGGGTGGCTTCTTGACCATGCTCGACAGAGCCAGATCAGCAAAGGAATAACTATCGTCCACCTGACGGTTGTTTGCAAGCGCCACAGTGGTGCCTCTGCCCGACAGCCGAATTTTGTGCGTGGGAAGTGGCATACTCAACACTGAGGCTGCGCTCACGCTGTTGCCCTCCACACGCCACTGTGCACCACCCTCGAGAGTCAAAGAGCCCTCCAAGTACAACAGCCCGCAATTCACGACCCTCGTGCTGCCAGCAAATGTACAGTCCGCCACTCGCAGCAGCCCCGCGGATCTCACGGTGGCCCGCGAAAACAGTTCGATGCCAATGGCCGCTCTCATCGTGTTGTTCTCAATGTCAATGTAGCCGCCGTTCTTCACATCAACAGCGTGAAAATAAACGGCTGATCCCATACGGCGTCTATTATCCGTTGTCATCAGCATATTTCCCTTCACAATGATTCCGCCACCATCAACAACAACACTAAAAAAATTAAGTGAGTGACCATTACCCCCGATGCGGTTGTCAAGTAGCAGCAGCGTCGAGTTCGTACTGAAAAAAAGACTAAAAAAGATGGCCGGGTTCAACATCGTCACAATTGTACTGCCCACCACCAGTATCTGGGAACTCGCTCCAAAATCACCCTCAAACTCCAACGCACCAGAATCCAGCATCGAAGAAGTCACGTTCACGTGCACACGCCCACCACTCCCCTTGACCGACAGGCCCACGAGGACGCACTGCAGCAGCGTGACGTTGAGTGTCTGCTCTGGTGCGTCAAAAAGCGAGAGGTCCAGCACGATCGCGGCGGTGAAGGTCACGTTTACAAAGCACAGACCACGCACACCGGGATCAGGATAGTCCACGGAGCTGATGCTGCCACCGTGCACGCAGCGGACCTCCGTGTCATTCGCATCGGGGAGCGGGAGCGGCCCAAGACCGTCCGGAACCGCAGCTGGTAGACAAGTGTCGCCGTGACCGCCAGCAGCGCACACGCACTCACAGCCGCTGATGCTGCTCGTCCTCGCTGCAAAGCACACGGCGTCCATGGTGCACACGCCACAGTCCAACACCGTCACAGGCGTCCCAATATTCAGGTCGTACTGGTAATCCGTCACAGGAGAGCCCCTTGCCTCGTTGCACACGCCGTAGATGATCGGGCGCGAGTCGGATGGTTGTGACCAATCGTTTGTCATGTGTGCAATGGTCGACGAGTACGAGCCGTGCGTGAGTTTGTTGTCAATTATCGACCACACACTCCGATCGCGGAAAGCCACGCCGTAGTAGTTATTCACGTGCACGACGTAGGCGGTGCGAAACTCGTTGTCGCGGTGCACCAGCCAGCTGCCGCCGGTCACGGACAAAGTGGCTGCCATGAGCATGGCAAAGCTGAGGCGGAAAGTGTTGGACACGATCTGCAGCACGCTGCCGCCAGCCACCGCAACATCCCTGAACCCACACGCGCCGTTATAGTATTCGGTGCTCGGCGCACTCCAAGAGCTGTTCTGTATGGAGAACACGGAGCCGCCGCTGACACGCAGGTCCGACGCAAGACCGTGCATCACGTGCATCTGCGACATGACAACGCAGTTGTCCAGATAAAAGGCGCTGGACAGGTTCACGTCAAGGCTGCGCTCCACGAGGATAGCCGCGGAAGAACCCCCGCCACACGC